GGGCTGGATTCGAACCCGCCACCTTAGGTGTATGTGGCTGGCGTCTTAGCCACTTGAGCCACAGGCACCAAGCCTAGTTTTGTCATTTCAAGACTGTTATGTGAATGAACTCACTCAGCATGTGACCTTTTGAATTGCCCCCTCCCTCCCTCACCCCAGTCAGCTGAATTCCCTGAGACTGATTCACGATGTGCATCTCAACTGGTCACTCCTTTTCAGTGCTGACTAGTGTCCTCCACATGGATCTGCCACGGAAGGTTTAACCCCCTCCTGAGGGGCCTTTGCGCAGTGATGAACAGACTGTGGGCAGTGGGGGCCATTTGGATGGAGAGGGTGGGAAACTCTGCAGACATTGCTTTGACAGTCACCAATGAGAACCTCAGCATCTGGGCAGCATGCCTGCAAGGGACAAGGAATGGAATGGACTGCAGCGGGTTGCTTTGCTGTGATGTAGGTGTCCTGATCTCCTGTTGGCAGCAGAGGAAACAAGTTTTTTTGCTGCAGGGGGCAAAGCTCATAAGAGTGGGGCTTAATTCACCCCAGGCCTCTCTGGCCTCTTTGTAACTGGGGGCCTGTGGCTCTTCTGAACGCAGGGTTCCCTTCCCACCCACACTGACAATTTTCTCTTTCTGGAGGGAGAGCAGAGGCCATGTCTGACGCAGAGGAGGTGGCGGAAGAGTACGAGGAGGAGTGAGTATTGGGACCATCCTGTCTGAGTGCTGGCCCCTGCCCCCCACCACACCTGGTCCAGGAGCTGCCCTCCACCCTGGGATCCTGGCTGGCTGTGCCTGCTTTCGGGACCCTGAGGAGAGAAACATCCCTTCCTTCCCATTCCTCTACCTCCGGGTTGTGGTTCCCCAGCAGGCCACAGGCTGGGGGCCTTTGGTTAGTGCATAGTGCAGGTCCCAGGCAAACCCGGTCTTACCTGGGTAGGGGACTGGCCACTAGCAGAGGACGAGAAGCTGGGTCTCCTGAAACACATCCAGAAGGTTCAGTGATTCTCTTGAGGCTACAGAGCTGATCATACCCCACAAAACTCAGCCCAGAACTCAGCATTCACTGCATATTGGATCTCCACTCTCCCCCTGCCCTATCCATAGTCCTGACCTGGAGAGAACCCAGGGGGTCGGACATAGTCAACCTACTGTCTACTTGAGGGGCACAGGGATCATTAGGGAGGATAAAGAGATACAGGCATGGCCCTGCTCTCACTGAACTTATTCTCCTGTCATGATGTTAAGACAAATTGTCAGGAGAAATTAGCAAGGAGGGGTGGAGCATTGAGGGAGGAAGGAAGGGCTGTGACTAGTGTGAGGGCTCTGAGGAGAGGGAGGCGGGGGCTGGAAAAAGGGGGGGAGGCAGGCTGGGTGGAGCAGGTGGGCCTTACCTGCATTAAATTTGAGGAGAGCAGAGATTTGGGAGAAGGAAGAACTTTCTAGAAAGGGGCATAGCCTGGGAAAACTCAGAGGTCAGCTGAGAAGGGAAGCATGCAAAACAAGCTAGGGCAGAGGCCTGCTGGGGACAGCAGGAGGTGGCACTGGACAAGAATGGTGGGCAGGCAGGGGTGCCAGTGCAGAGCAGGCAAGGGAGTGTGAACTCTATTAGGGGGTGAGGAAAATGTAAATGGCGGTGATGTGTGGGGAAGGGCCAGCAGGTGTATATATAATACATGTATGTGTGTGTGTGTGTGTGTGTGTGTGTGTGCGCGCGCGCGTGCACGTGCCCTTGAGGACAATTGACACTGTTTTCTGTTTGCACTCAGGGAACAGGAAGGTAAGCATGAGAGTGTGTGCTCATTTGGATCAAGGACACTGGGTGACACTGACCCTCCTCTTCTCTCCTCTCTTTCTGCCCTGGCCTTCTCTTCTGAGCAGAAGCAACTATGGAAGGTATGTACCTTGGGCAGGTGGAGTGCCAAAGAGTGGGTGTGTCAGGAATCCAGTGTTCCTGGGACACCTGGAAAAACAGATCATCCATCCCAGCTGCCCACTGTCAGTGGGGCAGTGCCCCAGCCGCTGCAGCTCCTGGACAGGAATTCGCTTTCTACTTTGGTTCCTCGGGTCTTTAGGCAAAAGGTTTAAATCTGTCTCTTCTGTCTCCTATTTTCTTCACATAGAATCACTACTTTTCCCAATTATTTTTGCTTTCCCCCCTACTGTTGATGGAAATTTTATTATTTTTTATTTTTTTGAGACAGAGCCTTACTCTGTCACCCCCGGTAGAATGCTGTGATAGCTGAGTGCTGTCATAGCTCACAGCAACCTCAGACTCCTGGGCTCAAGGGATTCCCGTGCCACAGTCTCCCAAGTAGCTGGGATTACAGGTGCCTGCCACAACGCTTGGTTATTTTTAGAGACAGGATGGGTGTGGGAGTGTCTTGCTCTAGCTCAGGCTGGTTTTGAACTCATGAGCTCAGGTGATCCGTCTTCCTCAGCCTCCCAGACTGCTGCGATTATAGGCATGAGCCACTGTGCCCAGCCATAATGGAAATTTTTAAATGCATTTTTAAATTTTTAAATGTTCCCCTACCTCCACATACCCATCCCCCAGCTTCTACAATGCTCAACTCAAGGCCCATCTCCTTTCATCCACCCTCCATCTCCCCAGTTACTTTAAAGCAGACATCCAAACCATTCCCAGGCAGCATATCACTTCACGCCTTCATATCTCAGTATGTATCTCCATTTAAAGCACTATTAAAAAAAGCATAACCACAACACCATTATCACACCTAAAGACATTTTTAATAATTTTTCAAATTTGGCTGTGAACATGACAGTGCTCAGGCATCTGAGATGTGTGAACAATCATGAAGGTTTATTATTATCACCTTGCAAAGGCCCATCTTGCTGCTCCTACTTCATCATCTATTAACATGTTACTCTCCTTGGCTTTGGGCCCCACATCTCACTGAAAGAATACCTTCACCCTCCCTTCTTCCTGAGAGCTTGACACATGGAAAGGACTAAGAGACCCACTGCAGTGCCATCCCCACCACCAAATGGCCCAGAATGGCCCTCAGGTGCCTCATGGGTCTGCACCCTAGGCAGGTTGGATCCTGATCCTTAGTGGCTCAGCTATAAGTTCAGCACATGGCATGTGAACCTTAGGAGAAGGGTCTTCATGAAGGATGGGGGGAGAGAGTCAGGGTGGCCCCGCTCTTGTTCCCCATGCCTTCCAGGAGCCTCCTGCACATTTAGGGCTATGCCAGGGGGGTCTGGCCAATGAGGAGACAGAAGAGAAATTCATAGAAGAAATCGAAAAAGGCCATAGGAGTCATTTTTGGTTTTCAAAGAACACCAAATACTTCAGAAGTTATCTGAAATATTTTTTGAATCAAAAATCTATACGGCTCCAGGTTCTGCTGTGTTCAGACTCGATATGGTGGGACTTCTCTTACTTTGGAGGATTTTCCACTTTGTTACACCAGATTTTGGGTGGTGGAATTAGAGATAGACCTCTGGATTTGGGATCAACCTGCCTGCTTTGCACAGTAGGATTTGGCTGTGAGTTAACAAAATAATTCTCGGCTGCGCTGTGGTCTGAGCTCCACGTTAGCATCTGCTTTGCCTGTAATAAATGAATTGGACCATTTATCAGCCCCACCCTGCCCCACTGCACATTCCAGTGCTCTGGGCTGGGCCCCTCCCTGTGAGCTGGACAGCGTCCAGGCGGGGTCGCCAGGGGTTGAGGGGCCTGAGGACAGAGTCATCTGAGAAGCAGACTGGAAATAGCCAAAGCAGAGAGGGCATGATGTCAGCCTTCAGATGTGCACTGCTGTGGTGGGGACTGGATGTGTTTCCAGTACCAGGGACAGGAATGGTGGACAACCTCTTCCCACACGGCTAAGGCTGTAAATGATCAAGAGAGAGCAAAGTCTGGGTGGATGTCCACTAAGCCTTCAGTATCTTCTTCCAGGGGAAGAATTGCTCCAATTACTGTAACCTCTTCGGGCAGAGACTTGCATCTAGAACAACTATTGTACATGAAGTCTGTTTCCTTAGGTTATAAAGCTGGGCCTTCCCTTAGATAGGTCAGCCTTTTCCCAATGGGCTGGGCACATCTCCCCTAATGCCAGCCTCTCCAGCAGCTCTTTCTGAAGGGTGACTCCTGGGCAGTGGGCATGGTTTGCAGGATATCTGAGAGGCTCCCTCAGGGCAGGAACATGGGAGACATTTGAGGACTGAACTGTTCCTGCTCTCTGCCCTTTAGGGGCCCCTGTCTTAGTAAGAGGGAAGCCTAGGCTCTGTTGTCCAGAGGCAGTGGCAGTGACCACTGATCAAATGCTTCCTTTGTGCCAGGCACCTGCTGGGCAGGCGCCCTGTGAGTGTTAGGTCACTCAGTCCTCACCTGCTGAGAGTGAGTACAATTATGCCCACATTACTGATGACACAGCTGAGCCTCAGGAAAGCTCCTGAGAGTTGCTCTGGTTGCTAGAGTGGTGGCTCAGGAATTGGAGCCTAGGCCTAACTCCAAGGCCCACACTCTTAAACCCCCTGTGCTGGCTGCCACTCCTGTCCTGGGCCTTCTGCTCCAGACTAACCTGTCTCGCTTCTCCCCTCTGCTGCTGCCACTCCCCGACCCTCAGAAGAGGAAGACTGGAGAGAGGACGGAGACAGTAGTGCACCTTTTCCTTTTGCTCTGCTCTTCACCACTTGCTGTCCTGAGAGTCAGCCTGCTGGTCGAGGGGCTGTTCTGGGGGAGGGCCCTGAGGGTGGAGGCCAGTGTAGAGAGGGTCAGTGGGTTCTTCCCCCGCCCCTGAGGGGCTGGGACCCCAGTTCTGAGCTGCTCATTGTGCCTCTTTCAGGGCCACTGGCTACTTCTCCTGGTTCCTGACCCTTCCCTGGGGCTGGGTGGTGGGGAGGACCCCGGCTGGCTCTTCTCCTACCCTGCTCCAAATGTGGCCAGAGTGGGGACGTGTGCCTAGGATGGGTAGCCCCACCCTGCCCCCACTGCACATTCCAGTGCTCTGTGCTGGGCCCCTCCCTGTGAGCTGGACAGCATCTAGTCAGGGTTGCCAGTGGTTAAGGGGCCTGAGGACAGAGTCATCTGAGGAGCAGACTGGAAATAGCCAAAGCAGAGAGGGCATGATGTCAGCCTTCAGATGTGCACTGCTGCGGTGGGGACTGGACGTGTTCCCAGTACCAGGGCAAGGGAGACAGAATGGGCCATGATTTTAGAATGATCTTTCTCACAGTGATGTCTCAGGATGCAGTGGGTGGCTTGGGGAGGCAGTGAGCAACCTGTCCTTGGTGGGGTAGTATGACTGCTGAATGAGGGTGGGTGTCTGGGACAGACAGATGAGATGTCACATGGGGTAGGGAGAGGCATGAACGAGGCGGCCTGAGGGAGGACCCCACAACTGAGGTTTATTTCCTGGCCAGCTCTCTACTTTCATGCTTTCTAGAAGGATCATTTTTGAGTTAAGGCTCCTGTGAGAATCAAAGAAAAGGCATCTCCAGGCCTCTGAGAGGTCTCAGACCTAGGCAAGGAGCACAGGGAGGAGAGAGGCAGAGAGAATGGAGGCTGACCTTTCTCCTGTGATGGCCTCTCCCTGCCA